ACAAGAAAGGAGTCAGCCATTCGAATGTCAAATTCAATGAAAATGAGCAGCGGTTAGTTGCTGTTAAACATTCTGCTGCTAGTAGCTGGCACAATAACGGTTGCAGTTAAGACACATTGCTACATCCACCATTTTGTCAAATCTGTCACCAGTGCTTTGAGTTAACGCAACTGTGTCCTGAGGCACTTTTTGGCTAACATTCTATTAAAATGTCACGTAAACTACTAATATAATCCATCGTGTAATGTTTTAAGTTAATTCAATGGTGTAAAAGTAATGTCTAACTTTTTACCTTTCTAACTGAATATCATTTTAACCATTTACTTTAGCTTTGCCAATTTAGCTTCTGCTAAGTCGGACCACCCTTATCTCCTCAAACACTGAGCGCTGTTCGTGTTGCAGGGGTATTAGGTTGTTCCTCAGTCAGCCAAACAACATCAGCGCTGTCAACATATCCGGGATCTTACTTCTGTTCACAATAAGATAACATGCTTTATCAAATCCAAATTATACAGTAAAGGCTTACAGAGTGCAATATAAAATACAGAGTTTTAAGCAGGTGGACCAAGCTCACAATGACAATGCTAACATCTGCTAATTAGCGCTAAACATGAAGTACTGCTGAGGCTGTCAACCAGAATTCATCCTCTGGGGTACATGAATAGGTATTTCACTCACAACCACAAATATCAACCTCACAATGGCACTGCAGGAAAAAGTCAGGGTCCATTATGTCATTAGAATACATCGTCTGTAAACCATGAATGTCTGTACAAAATGTATGTACAAGAAAAGTAGGATTAGGACAAAATGAATCTGTATCTGTAATGTCTGTATCACATCATGGCATGGCAGCTAATAGTTGTTGAGATATTTCAGTCTGGACCAAAGTGGTGGCGTTGACATCCCGAGAGCCACACTGCTAAAAACGTTAACCCAGGTAAAGCTTTGCTGTTGTAGTGCTTACTTTACTAGAAGTCTCTTTTTTACTCTTTATGCTTCAGTAGCTAAATAAATGTAACTGGTTCAGTGGAGATTGGCTTTGAAGGGGGTTAAAATTGGAAGATGACAAGCAATAAATGCCAAGGCTAAACCCAGCTCATCCATTTAAACAGATCAAACATTAGCACATAGGGCTTTAACAATATGTTTCATTGTTAAATTGCTCAATAAAAGGCTTTCGATTCACTTCACATGATAGATTAAAACAATTCAACATGCATTTTGCCTGAAATTTGCTGACTGATGAGGTGCTGTGGTTGTTGTGCTGAGATGATATCTTTTATTTTTGCCACAACAACTGGGTTTTTGTTTGTATTGTGTATTGTATTGTATTGTGAAGCAAATCTTCTTAGATCTGCGGTTCAAAAACAACATGAAACATGTTGAGAAAAACAAATTAATTTAATTTTGAAACCTCAGAAATGAAACTTTTATGATAATGGCATTCTTTTGTTGTTTTGTTGTGTAGTGCCGGTTGATAACTTCACTTATAATGCATACTTTAAAATGCAGTATGTGTATATATTTTCTTTTATTTGGAGATTTTCAAATACTTAAGGTTTCTCAGTACCGTCAAACCCATCTACAGCAGTGCAATCAGTTTAGCTTATCAGTACAGAAAGCAGAGATTTCCCTCTCTAAGGCCTGAATTTACTGCAGAGGCTCCTTGAGGGTTTCTTGCTCTTAATGCAACCAGTTATCTGTGCTGGGAGGTACTCAGTTGATAAATTCTTAAGACTAACTTGTTCTCACCAGCCACCCTTTCCTCTGACATGCAAACCAGACCTCTTTTATCGGCTCTCGCTCCAGTTTAAAAGAACAGAGGAGAGTTACATCAGACACCATGGTAGTAAAATGTTTGAGCTGGTTACAGACTGTCAGGTACACAAGCCTCCAGTTGTCAGTCATGATTGTTGTGCACATGTGGGAGTGGGATATGTAGGTTTCCATGTGTGTGTGTTTGTGTGTCTGACCATGTGTGTTTTACATGCTATTTTAGTATGATCCTAATGGCTTTACAGAGTGCCAGGCATTTTAACAGAGCCAGGGAGAGGCTTGTAAAACACACACACACTCACCACAAGACAGAGAAGAGAGGCTGGCACACTGGAACATGGCCGTCTGGAGGGAGTCTGTCAGTGTCTGTGTGTGTGTGTGTGTGTGTGTGTGTGTGTGTGTGCATTAAGAGGGTCAGCCAGGGTGATGGTGACACATGATGAAGGAAAACGAGAAACACGGGCCTGAATGAAAGACAGGCAGTGTGTGTCTGCGATTGTGTGTAGGCAGGGTCAGGGTCTAAAGCAGACACATGGCGCCAAGTGGCACTGCCTGGGTATGGGTGGGTTTGGAGTCAGAGAGGGAAGGAGAGGCAAAAAGATTCAAACTGTGATGTTGTTAAGGGAAACATGTCACCAAAAACACCAGGAAAAAAACAGCTTGCATTTTTAAAAACTCCCTAGCTCTAAAACCTACAGTAACACAGAGCAAGTGAAAGTAAATGTTAATGGTGATGGAGGCACTTAAGAGTAAAAATAAAGGAAAGAGGAATCATCTTCCTCAGGGTGAAGAAAAAACAAAGGCCTGAAGAAAGCAGTAAGTTGAGAGAGTGATGGAGGAGAATGTGATGAAGAGGATAGAGGAATGCAATGAAAGAAAAAGTGGAGAGTTTTCACCCAAAAACCAAAAACCTCAGAATAAAAGACTCCTTGTTGCTCTGCAAGTTAGTAATTAACTGCTTCTTTTTTTTTTTTTTTACCCAAATTTGACCGAGCAATTCAATGAGCATTCTCTAAAATAACTTTTGGGTTTTAGGATAATCTCATCCATGCTAAAAACAGTGTTTATACCATTCATCAGACAATGATTAAAATTTGTTTTTATCCCTAATAGACTGCACTGAAGGAGCATCCACTATTTTTGTGTGTTTAAACCGTTTACTAGCAATTCTGAACATTTTTGTTCCTGTTTGAAATTTCTAAATCATACAACATTGTTTTAGATTTTTTAATTCAATGGTTTCATTCATCTCCATCCAGTAACAAAATCAAGGTACAGAGACTGAGAACTTACTTTATATGACAGCCAACATGTTATGTTATGCTGTAATATGCCACATTATGTTGCATGGTAACATCACTTTGCAACAACAACTGCAGTGGAAACACACACAACCTTTGTTTATGCTTTTGTTATGCAAAACACCTCTGGTAGTCATGTGACTTTGACACCAGAGATCAGTGTTGCTTTGGCAACCCAAAGTGTCGGTATTTCACGACCTGAGAATGAGACTCAACAATCAACCATCTTTCTCTAGAATGACTGACCACGATGAAACCCTAACCTTAATCAAAATCAAGCAACCTTACGTTGTCCTTTAGGTGAATGTTGCAACTGTTTGACGCCATGCAATTCTAACTTAACTTTAAAAAATGGCAGATATGATTTCTATGATGTAAAACCTCACTCCAGAGCCTGAATCAAATGTGCATGTGGAAACTAAACAATTGAAAACACTGTTGCATGTCTTGACAACGTTTTGCAGTGAAAGTAAAAGTATAAGTGATTTGTGGTAAACTGGTTAGAACGGTAAGATTTCTTTTCCCACTAAGATGTAAATTTGGCTTCAACGTACAGTTTGATTTAAATGCTTTCAATATTTTCAAATGTTCTTTATAAATATGAGGTAGGAATAAAATCCTGGTCATCTAAAAGCATTCAGTTTTGTTAGATAAGCTTTCACAGCAGCCCGCATAATCAGTTTTAATTCTGAGTAGGGTTTTCTTTGAAAAATGTGGAGGCAGGGTCACTGGACCACAGATTACGGTCTGTATTTGTTTGAGTGAAAACAGGCTGATGATGAAAAATACGTATAGTAATTGTAAGTCCATGAAACTTACCCAGACCATTTCTCTTTGCCTTTAATGCACACCGTGATTAAATGACAAGTTAATTCAGTATATTCCAAGTTTATTTAAAGTGACACCATACCCACGCTGTGCCATATCTGAAGCACTCATGCTAAACAGAGACATTTCCCAGCAATAGGACATACAGTACAATAGGGCTTTCATGAGGACTGTAGGAAACTAGTCCTGCTGTACCCCAACCACACACTCTGTCACATTGCTCTGTGAGTGTGTGTGTGTGTCTAGAGTTACCGTTTTTCAATGTATACCACATGTAGCAACCTTGTATCGACTGATATGTTTTCAATATGGGGAAAAAGACAGAAAGAGGGAGAGAAAGGAAGCCATAGACGGCCACAACATTTTTTGAAATTTAATAATACTAAACTAATACTGTTTACGTTCAATATCTAAAAACACAACTGGTTACCATGACAACGGCGCTACCAGGTAGCCAGCCTTTCTTCAGCTTTCCCTAAGCCTAACCCTTTCTTTCTTTATCCTCATTTCCCTTTTTCCTGGCTCTCCTCCCTCTCTCAGATGACAACTCTTTCGACAGTTAAATATACTCTTCATCTACCCTCCTTACTCCATATTTGAACCAAACCTCCTCCTCCTCCTCCTCCTCCTCGTCCTGCTGCCAAAAGCTCGAAGCAGAGTTTACTCCCTGTAAAATAAAACGTCTGAAAACAGTATTTGTTCCGCCGCCAGGAGCTTGTCGTCAGGTGACCCACTGGAGTAAATCTTTTCAATAATGTCAAAGGCAGTGCCAAAAACCTGCCAGGGCCAGACCAGTGTGTGCCCTACTCCTACACACACATCCGCACAGTTATAGAAACACACTCACAGCGAGAACAATCACATAAACTCACAGACGTCATCAGATATGTACAAGCTAGCACACAGAAACGCGCTCGCTCAGTGGCTGATTTTAGGAACTGACAAATTGTAAGTGACAAGATGTCCTCACTTTTCCCAATATTTAATTTTTTTTTTTTAAAGAACATAAATTATCTCTCTCTCGTGACGACTGACAAATGTCTTCACTTTGAATGACTTTGCACGCACATGCATGCACACAAACTGCCTCACCTGTTCCTGCGTCATGCTGTGCAGCTGCGCATGCCAGGAGGCGGAGTCAGAGCGGTGATAGGCGGGGGGCGGGGCGAAGTCCTGCAATATGATTGGGTCTCGCTCCTGACACAGCGAGGTCAGGTGACTGATGTACAGCTTCAGTTTGCTGCGATTCTGATTGAGGTCCAGGAGAGGAGAGAGAATCTGAAGGAGGGAGAAGGAATGATAGGGGACAAAAATGAAAGGGATTTATTTTCACTGCACACAAAATATAGCAACAGAAAAGGGCAATGCTGCCTGTTTAAAAGTAAATATCAGTTGTGCTGCATGCTGAGCTGTACCAAAACAGAAACACCAGAGAGAGAGAGAGAGAGAGAGAGAGAGAGAGAGAGAGAGAGAGAGAGAGAGAAAAAGAGGTGGTCTGAGAGCAGTGAATGCTGTTAGTTAAGTGTATTATTCTATTCTTAAATAATCATTAATTATAATGTATGGATTGGATATGAATATACAAAAGAACTGTGCACTGTATTTAATTACAAGCTTTTAGTCTATACAGGCATAAAGGGCAAACAGAGAATTAAAGGAACAGGTGCACATAGATTCAGCTAATTAACCTCAATGCAAAACACCTGTTTCTTTATATTTCCCTGTGATTGGCTGTCTCTGTCCCTGTAAATCACTCAATATCACTCTTAAGTGAACAGTAACTTGTAACATTTTGGACACTTATGAATCATCATAATATTGCGTGTAGGTTTGCACAACAGCATTTTTTGTCTTTACAAAAGGTGACACATGGCATTGTATACTTGTAAGACACTACATTTTTTGATTGATAGATTGAACAGAATTCAGATGCTAAACTTAAATGGTGGACAGTACTTAGGCAGGTCACAGTTTAACGCCAAACAGGAGACAAAAAATTAGAACTGGGTGATTCAAACATATATGATGAAGTGAGACAAAAACAGACAAAGACATGGAAAGATGACAGAGGTTGTGATGTTGTAAACAACACTCATGCACACCAGAAATCAGAAAACATATAATTAAGAATTTTGGATAATGTCACATTTTGCGCTTAGGCTAATTACTCTGATTACCACTGGTTAAATGCAGTCAGTGATCAGATTTTCCCACGAGCATATTTCTTCTATATTTGATTTGAGAAACTGATGTAAAACGCTGCTACTTTAAAAAAAGTTTTAAGATGCGATTAATCATACGTAACCTGCTGTGTTAATGATATGTTTTGTGATATAGGAAACCAGGTACTTTGTTTACATGATTACTCAGAAGTGAGGTTGCTGCTGAAAGTTGGTATAATCTTTCTAAATAAATGCAGTAGCTATTTCTAAAACTATAGGACCAAAGTCTTGTGCCTGGATTTAATACATTTTAATAAAACAACGGAAGTGAGAGACATTAATAAGAATGTAAAGAAATGGTCAAAATAGGAAAAAATGAATTTTGGTTTAGTCTAGGACTTAAGACATGAGTATACACACACATGCATTTGACCTTTATTATACCAAATACCAAAAAACAGTTGGAATATCTTGTTTTCAGTCAACTAACTGCAATATATCATTGTTACACAAATCAGTTTATCTAGTTTGTTTATAGAGAACTGATCCAGATGGCAAAGTGAACAGATTTGATAAAATTGAGAGAGGTATACAAATTTGATATCCTCGTTTAACAGCATTTGTTTCACAGTGGCCATGACTAATGTGTGTGAGCGTGGGAATGAGGAGCTAAACACACATATTGGGGGTATAAAACGAGACCCCCCAAGAGACACAAACACACACAGACACAGATAAGAAATGCAGACACACAGACACACAAACACTCTCACACTATTCTCCTTGAGGAATAGAGGGATTTAAGTGCAGAGGAAACATGTTAAGAGGGCTGTTAGTGTGTGTGTTGGTAAAGTATATTCAGTCCCAGCTGTGCCTGTCCACACCCTGTGCTCCATGCTCATCATCACTCAGCACACACACACACGCACACACTTGACAGCAGGATCCATTCACTCAGCACAGTAACATAATTTCTCTGTCCATCTGTACTTCATCTCAGCTCTTTAACCTGGTTCTCGCTTTACTGTTTGAATACAAGAATTTCAAATATCCATGTAATGTCATCTCAGGTTTTTATTTGACTTTTATTCTTTATGTGTTTAATTTAGACAGAATGGAGAGTCACTGCTTATCTGTGCAGTGTGGAGGCTCAATATAATACTTTTACATTTCTGATTGGTCTGCAGTTGTTTGTTAAAACTGTATACCACCTCTAGCATAATTTTGATCAACAGTTTAAACACTCAGTACATGTAACCATAGCAACCACACTGACACAACCGAGCTGGCCAAACGGACCAAATATGGGTTGAACCGACAGCAAAGACATGGAGATTTTAAAGATATTTTCACATTGGTGGCAATTTACCATAGGTGAAATAATAAAACATAACACTGTAATAAATACACAAATATATATATATATATATATATATATATATATATATAATAACTTTATGGAGCTCTTCACTTCAATCTTATCTACTGTTGTACATTGCTTGGCTTATATGCTGTATTTACCGCACCAGATAAAGGGCTTCTGATGTTTGTGTGTCATTAGTTGCATACTGTATTTAAAATGACTGATTTTATTAAACAAAACCAGGAAATATACCTATCCCAGACACACATTTTTAAAAATATTTTCTAAATCTGAATGCCAGCCTCAGTAGACAGTAGAAAACAAACTGCAGTTAGGTAGATTTTTAAAACATATAAAACTCTACATATATATGCAACATTCATTATTCAGTAACTTCATTTGTTTGAGCATCCTGGCAAACAAATTAAAGAACTAGACGTGGGTGGTTTTTGTGGAGAAAAAAAGAAATTCTTATTGCACGCTCTTCTCCGGCAGCATCACTGCAACAATGAAAGCTGACAGTAAATCAAAGTAACTGTCACTTCTGATTCTGAGTCCTTACCTTATTTACTGCAAACACAACACACACATACACACACACTGGGGGTAATTTTTTGTGTTTCATCTCCACTGCTGTGTTCAAGATAAGCTAAACCACCTCCCTGGCTCACAACTGCAAATTTTTCACACACACACACTGCGTATATACACTGTTCTATACATTATGTGTGAGTGCACATACCTATATGGTACATGCAGAGACACAAACACATTGTGACACAGAAAAACACACATACACCCTCATACAGGGTCGTTATCAAGGTTGTAAATAGCACTGGTTATAGTATTTTCCAGCGAGGACCTGCCAGTAGGTTACAGTCCATTACGAAATACATTACTGAACATTTCCCTCTGGAGGAAAGAGGGAGACGGAAAGAGATGATGGAGTTAAGGGCTGCAGGGATCCTACACATTCTGCATCTCAGGACAACCCTGTTGCTGTATGTTATTTACTGACTCTGGCGACACAACAACAATCACATTATTGCTCCAAGACTATTCTGTTGTGTCATATTACAATATGTGAACACATCTCTTAAAATCTGAACATATGTGCAACAGCTGTTCTCTCACACTTTCTAATCCAGACTATTCTGTCAAAAGACTGTCCACACTTTCCAGACCTGCAGCAGAGCTATTTGGATCAAATACAAGACAAATGAGGAACAGACAGAAAGAATGGAAGGAATGACGGCAATATAAGGAAGACATTTAGAGAGAAATAACAACACCAATGCTTTCTTTTTTTCTTAAAGAAATATTTAATAACTAACAGAAACAAATGTCTAAAAGGTTGAAGTACTGAACCTCAGTAATAGTCATGTGAAATATGAACAAAACAATGTAACCTCTGAAAGTTTTTGCAACACTTAAAGGCTTTGAATTTACTGATTTTATTAAGGTGTTTGTATGTTTTTATTATATTACACAACTTGCAATACTATGCAGTGTGTTTAATGAGCCCACAGTGTTTTCCAATGTCTTACTGTACTATGAAACAACCCCACAGGACACATAATTTTATACAGCACCGTGTATGTGTCAGAGTGTGTGTGTTTGTGCCTCTTTATTAGCCTCCCATGCCTGCCTACCAGACTCTTACTGTACTATGAAACAACTCCAAAGAGAGACATTCAGCTATCACTCACTGACCACATTTAAAAAAAAAACACCTCTATGGCCACATTATATGATGAAATCAGGATTTTGCTTTCTCCACAGATCCCTCTGAGACATACGCAAACGCAACAAAGCACAAATATATTTATTTGACCAGCAACAGCAACTATAGGAGGGTTTCAGTGCAGAACACAGAATCATGGCTGCTGATCTCAAATAAAACCTCCACTGTTAAAGAGCCCTTAAGCAAGGCACTTTACCTCCAACAGATCAGACTTTAGTTGTACAAGACAGTACCAACGTATCCTCGAGCAAGCTCAAACTCATAGTCCTCAGCCCCAACGTTCAATGCTTTGTGCGATCACTGAAGGCAAATTATCAGACTTTTATTCAACTTTTTTCTGCACTAGTACTCCCTAATACCTGTTAACAGACTTTGATGTGTTCCCCTTTTCATCCACAAATTAGATGCAGTTTAACCAATATATCAGGTATTTATTATATTTGTTGATGTGTATATGAACACTTGAGCAGGATTTTTCATCTCAAATGAAAAATGTTGCACTAAATATTAATCACGCAGGAGAGAATGTTACTCCAGTCTTCTACTTGTATTCTGTCAAGTAAGTTGTGAATAATTTCACTTATAATAAAAAGGTAGCTTTCATATGTACAGACCAATGTTTGGAGGCCCTTCAAATTTCTGACATAGCAGGTAAGAGCTTTCGTTGTTATTTATGAAGTCATCTTAAAATATTGAAAAACCTCACAAACCAAGCCAACTCTTTTATAGAAATAAACATATATACCTCTTCTCTGTCTTTTTTCACTGATGCATCTAATACCACGGAAGACCACTAAAAATCTCAAAATAACATAAAAATGTCCTCAACAATGCTTGGTGTGTGTTAAGAGTGCTCTCCTGTGTTTCTCTATTACAGCTGTTCCTGAAGCATTTCATTCTCCAACTGTAGTACAGAATTCCCTTATTGAAAGAGACACAATCACTCACTGTTCTGATGTAATGCGCTATGGCAAATTACCTGCCTTACACACCAAGGAGAAGTGTGTATATACTGTACATGTGTGTGTGAAACTACTCATGAAGATGGAAATAAAAAGAGTCAGTATGTCAGCTGTGTGCGTGCTGGCTGGCCTGCCTCTCTCAGCAGGGAGGTGCTACCGCTAATTAATAACCAGGGTCAAACTTAGATCCGTTAGTGAACCTTTGGGCTTTTAGCATCCCAATGGGAAATCCCACTGGGGGAACTGAGCTGCGCTAAAAGCAGCATGTGCTACTCATATGTGGTGGTGCCTCCACTGTCAGTAGATCAAACCGATACCACCCTTTTATTAATGTGAGACCAAACTTGAAAGACGTTCAGCATTATATCATTTTAAAACTTAAAGCCACTTGTATAAATGTTCAACTTCCCAAACAAGTGACTTTGCCAGGTTATCAAATCCTCCACTAGTGTTCATAAGTTTTAGTATTCAGGAAATTTGGTGAAACATGTAGATGTGCATTAGAAAAGCAAAAAGTGACATTTCTTGTCTTAAGAAAGACTGTATTGATTTGTGGGGGTGTGTTTTTTGTTCTTGCCTGACTTGAAGGTTGTCATGCATGCGCGATTAATGACCTTTGGGCCTTAAAATACTGGAAACCCCCATCGTGTGATTAAAAAACAGTACAGGGGCAGGGTCAAGGGGAAAATCCTTTTATCATTCCTGAAAAAAGCAGCAGCTTTCTTAAATCATGTCAAGAAAGAAGATAAAGAATAAAGACTGACACATGAATCATCCATATGAAAGTGATGCACTGATGGGGAGGATCAGTAACAAAGATATACTTGCAGAAGATGATAGAAAAAATCTTAGGAATGAGAGAGAAGGCAAAAAACAGCACATCCAGAGAAATCATAAAATTAAGGTGAGAAGAAGTAATGATGGATTTAAAAAAAAGAAAATGGAGAAAATTAAGTTTGGAAAATTAAGACTGTGGAAGAAAGGATCATCAGAAGAAGAAAATGAATTGAAATCAAAGGCTGAGATGAGACGTTGAACAGATGGAGCACGAAATTCAAGAGCTGACTTAAAAGTATTCCTGTTTACACAATGAATGGACCTCATTGCCACTCACACAAGAGAATGAGAAATTACTAACCCCAACCCAAAAAGAGAGGAGGAAGATCTCCGGAAAAAGAAGAGTTTCAAGATTTAATGTCAATTAAAAATGGAAGAATGAGTATTGCAAAAATTAAAACAAAAGAATCACCAGCCCCCAGATCACAAACTCGCGGATGAAACAAAAACAAGATGGGCCGGAACATGAATGATGAGCACGTCCAAATGTGATTGGATTCAGATAAAGAAGACTCTCACCCTTCTGTACAAAATGGCGTGCCAGAGAGAGAAAGAAGGCATGTGATTCGTTAGGCCCAAATGCCCTCCTCATCGTCCTATTGGTTAGTTCAGTCCAACCGCAGCGTGAGTATGGAGAAAGCAGGAAATTGTAGACAAACATAGTAAGCACAGTAATGTTAGAAAATTTTAATTTAAAAATATTAGTAGTTAAAACAAATATAAATAATTAGAGAATAAGTAAACGTTACACACAAGTAGTCTCTCACTTGAACATAGTTGTTAATAAAAATAAAAGGAAGATTTAGAAATTTTATTTTAGAGCATGCATTCATCCACATAAGAGTGATGACATTAGTTTTAAGTGGTGGATGTGGGTTGGGACAATATTTGGAGGTTATCCACAGGTGAAGCCTCACTAACCCAGGCGGAGAACTAACCTGGTCTGGGGAGGGCTTGTGATTGTTGGGCTGCTCTGAGTTTGGAGAGGAGACCTTCAGGTGGTCGTCCTCATAGTTGTCCGCCATCAGTTTCATCCGGTTTTGAGTCTACAGAGAGCGAAAGACACAGAGTCACAAACAATTACGTCTCTTTGATATCTCACAGCAAAGACAATGAAAAATGATTTTACATGTGATTCAGCAACAGCAAATAACATTCATGTTTGAGAAAACACCACAAAGCAGTGTGTGTGCGTGATAAAAGGAAAACTATAGCCTTGAATTCCTCCAGGAGTTAATTTGCAGAGAGGAGAGTTTTTGGATGACTGCCATGAGCTTTGCCTTTGCTAACATACACTTTATGCATGCGTGTGTGCGAGACAAAAAGAAAGACACAGATATAGAGGGAGTCAAGAACAGACAGCAAGAAAAACAACAACTGAGTTTTAAATATTAGTACTGCTATTTAAAGAGAACAATAAAGATATGTATTTGCAATTTTGAACTGCACACACATATGCATGCACACACACACAACCTTTGACATGCCACCTGTTGTGTAGCTTGTTAACTGGTGCACAAAAAT